CCCCAAAACCCCAAAACCCCAAAACCCCAAAACCCCAACATCCACCTGCAGCATTGACTAATGCATTAAAGAGTATTTATTCCCAGCCTTCTTCTTCACTACATTCTCTTCGTAATCTTTTTCACTGCTGCAGTCTTGCTCAGCAGGGGTCTCTTCTATAGTAGGAGTGAGGTGGGGAGGAGGAAGGAAGGGGAGGGAGCAGGGAGCAGGGAGCAGAGGGGGGGATGAGTGAGTGGAGGGGTTGGAGATTAGGGAATTCTTAGAGGTTGAAGGTGAGAATTTTGGAAATTTCTTACTTATTTTAACATTTTTTCTTAGAGTTTTTCTTAATTGGTTCATAGGTAGTGAGAAATTTTTTGGGTAAGCAATTTCTGAAGGTAATTGTTTCTTTTCTTCCTCAAGATGAACATCTTCTTTCTCTAATTCCTGTTCAGGCTTATCCTTGGCTGCAATTTTATCTTTGTCCAATAGGCAGGACACATAGAGCTTCAGTTCCATTAATGATCGAGATATCTTTACAGCATCAAGCTCCTCCTCCATTTCAGTTATGATATTGCTATTTCGACAAATTTCTTTAATTCTCTTTATTTTATCATCGAATTCGGTCTGTTTATCTTTATACAGTTGGCTTCTATCATTAATTGGATCTATACTGTCTTCAGGTGTAACTCTATTTTTCTGACCTCTGAGAAATGCAAATCTCAGTCCCTTGATCTTCCTTTCAGTAGTTTCATTACTTATTGCTGGGCCAGCAGAATTTTGGGATTTAACATTATTTATCTACGCCAGAGCTGGGATGATTCTTATATAAAATCTGACTACTTCACTTATCTATGATAGATTAGAGTATTTAGAATTTTTAAAGCCGAGTCTATTTTGACTTAGCAACAAATAAAGAGTTTTATTTTGATAGTTAAAGCTAAAATCAGGGTTGAAGATTTTATAATTGAAAGTAGAAGATCAAGATTTAGACCAGAATTTTTAAAATAGTATTTCAGAGCAAGAGTGATAAGGATTGTGAGATTAATGATTTTAGAGGATTAATATTTACACTCCTAAATCTTTAATAGTGATTAGAATTTATTTAATGAATTGGATGCTTTTAAAAATTATACCTTTCTGATTAGATCTCTTTAAAGCATGAAATACAATACTAAAAACCGGAACCTTAAAAACGTATATCGCTGCAAAATTCCATCAATAAAAATACTAAGAAACTTATAATAAATATTCCAGTTTAATGAGATAGATAAATTTCTAAGTAATCTGGTAATATTTCCGACTCTATCACTAGAAAAATCAGAATCATTAGTTTTCTAAGCTTCAAGGCTGTTCACAAGTAATTAATACAACGTCCTGTTCATTTGGCCTTGCTTCAGATGTCAGAGATAAATAAGATTAAAGGTGTAATTTACGAGCAACTATTTGAGTATTAAATTTTATAAAAACTACTTTCATTAAGCCATTTGAGAATGCTTTTATATAATTTTTGAAGTCGAAAGCAGATTATTGTCTTTCATTCTATCTAATAAAAATGTACCTTGGATTTTTGCTGGGAACGTAAACCAACCTTTATGGTCGTTGACTTCTTTCTGAATCTTTTTAATATCTCTGTTGTATAAGCATTTAGTGATTAATTTGATAAAGAAGGAACAGATCAGAGATAAGATCTCAAAAATACCGCCAATTTGACCTAGAACTTCGAGGATGCTAATGACATTTGTCTCGTAGGTTTGAATAAAGTCATTTGTGTCGAATAAAACAACACCATAAGTACTACCATCATGAGTTTTTTGTGAGTAAGATCTTCAATCACCAATATCAAAGAATTCACCTTCTCTACTTCCAGTGATAATTGAGTACCAATCATTGACAATATATCTGTTCCTATCTAATAGTCAAGATAGTTCAGTTACAAATCCTTTTGAAAGAGAAATTGTGGCAGTATCATGAACATAAGCTTTTATTGGATCGAGAGGATCAGAATCGTCAAAGTATTTACTAATGATGGTGAAATACAAATAATTATAATGATCAAGCCTTGACCCAAAAGAACTTCATATGTCGAATGGGCAAGCAACAATCGTAAACACGAAATTATAACTTCTCCCCTTCTTAATATCTCTTTTAATCATCTTCATTAAATCATTTCTTTTAAATCAATAAAAAGTATGGCCGTGCCTATTTTCAATACTAGGATCATTTGGATCTAATGGAAAATTTTCTTGAGTGCACTCTTCAAGCTTAAAAGAAGAAACTGGTGTCTCATTAGGTTCTTCTCCTTCAGGTATTTTTTCCAATAATGTAAGATTGATCATTCCTAGGTTATTTTTAATAATATCAATATATTCATTTCCTTCTCTCCCGACCCAAGAAACAGCTACATAAATTCCTTCTTCATTAAGCATTATATCTATTGGGTCTTTTTCAAAGTTAGTCTTGATCTTATTTATATTTGTCTGTATCATCGTCCTATTGACCATGGCAGTTATCAACTTTAGCCCATAAAACCCTCAGATGCCAAAGATAATCACTGAGAAAATAGCTCCAATCAGGGTGGAGTAGGTTTTCTGACCTTTGAAGCTCACAGTGAACTTTTGTGTGAAAATATCTGTTGTTTTGAACCCTTGGTAAACCTTTTTAGACCACTTCTTCATATTTTATCTTAATATTATAAATACTTCAATTTTTTATTTTGTATTGGGGTTTTGGGGTTTTGGGGTTTTGGGGTTTTGGGG